GCATCGCACTTGCGTCTGGAAAGTTCACTGGGAGAAAGCGTCTGTCGCGCCAGTGAAATTGCCATGTCATCGATACAACGTAAGCGTTTGTAAGTTTACACGGTAAACTCCACGACTACGAGGGAGAGCTCATTCCTTTGCACGCACCGCCGTTGCCTTTATTGCTACGGTAACAATGCAAAATTGGATCGATATACATTATATGTGTATGTCTGTGCGCGTATGTGTGTGTGTGTATGTGTGTTTCAAAGTAAGAAATGAAAATACGAGTACACCCAATACACAGCGAATATTGCGGAGTAGAAGAATTCTTTGTCGCGTGAATCTCGCCTGCCTGGATCTCATCTCAGCCGGGGAAGCTTGCTCTTACTTTTAATCTTACGTAAAACGCGATAAATCGCGCGAAATTTCCGAGTTTTGTAGTTGCTCATCCATCGATGAGCAAATACGAGCCCGGAATATGTGTCAGTGAGAATGCGATGTTGCTTTGTCGCTCTTTGAGCTTGTACGTTCCTCAAGAAACAAACATACAGCGAGAACCTCATTAAATCGTGCTACACCGCAGCTCGGCAAGCGGCCGATTTCATTCGTCTCCTTGATTATCCCGCCAGAAGTTCGCCAGATTAACGTTAGACGCTTCTGCGCCAGCAATCTTCCCGGACGCGAGCGACGCTTAACGCTAAACTTGGTTTAGATATAACATGAATCGTTTGTCCTTTTATTTTCCATCAACGGCGTACACTCTCCGAGTGTACCGAGCAAATTCGCGCGTGAATTTGACTCGAGTTTCTATATTATTGTTAACAACAGCAGACTATCAGGTATAACGTAACATTATTTTCTTTTTCCTCTGCCACTTCGTATTCTTTACGGTATATAAAGAGCGTACACCAATCGTACTTTAGCGTGTGAATAATCCCAAAAAAGTTGCCCCGACTTTGTCGATACAAAAATGCTGTCAAAAATTTCGCTCTCTCTCTCTCTCTCTCTCTCTCTCTCTCTCTCTCTCTCTCTCTCTCTCTCTCTTCCCCCCCCCTCTCTCTCTCTCTTTCTCTCTTTTGTTCCTTCTCTTTCTCTCCCTCTCCTTTTCTTTCTTCTTTTTTATTCTTCCTGTTTCTTTCCTTTTATCGGGCTTTTAGTAATAATTAAAAATCACGCCAAAGGGGATTCGTGTAAGTTACTTCGATAATCACGATCAACGCTAGCCAAGCGCAACTAACAAAGAAGTAGGGATGGGCGACTCGACCGTTTAACAATGAATTCGTCGGTTTTAATTAAAAAAACAGCCAGTCATTGACAGATTAAGTCTCTTTTTCTGCTTCTCTTTGTCCTTTTCTTCTTTGTCGAATAATCGCGGTCACGCATCGATATTAAATCGCTACCGATCGTGCAAAAGTAAATCGACAATATCGAGAGAAGTAATTTCGCAATACACTGAAAGAAAGAATATATAAAAGATAAAGAATATTTGTTCGATGGGTACTAATAACATATTTACTTGTACTAATATACACATATATACTTTTACATTGAAAAGACATGTTTTTCAAGTAAGAAAATATATATTTCCTTAAAATTGTATCTTCTCATGAAAACAATTATTTATTATAGTTAAATGAAAAAATTCAAATTTATGTGTTATTAGCATCTACTGAATAAGTTTTTAATATTTTTTCAGATATTTTCTGTCTCGGTGTAACAAACAAACTCGCCTCGTTGAACTTGACAACGTCGATTACATTCGATCATTACTTGCAACTACTGTTTCTATCGAATGAAAGTATAAAAATTTTGAAAACATCTATTTCCATCCGTTTCTTTATTATATACTCGTTGTTTACATCTCTTTATCTTGTAAATAGTTCTGAAAAGTTTGCACTGCTCAAATGATTATCGCCTTTTCAGCGATATGCTTGAAATCTCGCGTATCAGTTATTCCGATTCACTGCGATTAATTGTTTCTCCCCTAAATCAAACTTGTATGATCCCTCTACCGAAGAACGAAACGAGCAAACAACCCGGTGTAATCAGGAAGATCTCTTCAGTATGACGTAAGACCGAAGATAGTCCCTACGTTAGCCAGAACGTTACCGTCCGTAAATTTTACACCGCCTTTACACCCCTCTTACGTTACGTATTAGAAAGAGCTTTCTCCGGTTATTCGCCGCCATGTTTGGCTCGCCCTGGCTTTGAATTCATGCAAGTTTAATCTAGTTACCAGTCCAGTCTACATGATTCCTCGATACTTCTCTCTACTCACATATATATTTCTTCCTTCTTATCTCTCTCTTCAATAATTAAATCCGATAATTCACGTGATTGCCCATCCCTACAAGGATGTCGCTTGTCTCCTACAGGCTATCCCAAAATGTTCGCCCGTAGGAAGGACTCGCTCTGGTAGTGTATATAACAGTTTTACATTATTTACTTATTATCTCGCCCGTTGTGTTTTGTTCTTTTTTTCCTCGCAGTCTCGAAGCGTCCTACATCACAAAGATCAACGTTGGAAACTACTACTTGTAATAATCCTTTACATCTGCGAACGTCCGACATATTTTTTCTTTTTTTCTATGAAACTTAACGCTATCTCTTAACGACCGCGTCGGTATACATGTTTCGCTTGCGTCGAAATTAATAGTAACATGTACTCCCGCCGGAAAACGCGAAGAAAATTGCATGTAAAGCCGAAATACCTTGGAGCAAAGTTAACTTCTAAAGTCCACTCTAAACCGGATTACCCCGAAAAGTGGTACACGGAGAAATCGCCTGTAAATAACTGCAGCCCGTAAGTAAGGTTGCCGATGAGGTCGCGCAGGTTTCGAAACTTTGTTAGCAGAGTAGTTCTGAAAGCCACGTTGAATGTAAATCTCGATGCAATTGCGAAGGTTACTTCGCCTACTCTTCGATATATGTATACCGTTTTTAAACGCGACCGAAGAGAATGACTCGTATTACATACATTCGCAAAATCGCGAGAGATGAATATAATAACAAGCGACGATCTCCGAGGATATGACCGCGCGAGATCTTCCTCGGATCTCCTCGCGTTTGTCGGGAAAAATTGGAAAAGTTGCGTACATCCGCACGTATGTACGTCCGCGTGGCGGACGGTTGAACATTACGAAACGTCAAACCACACAATTTGTCGGTCAAAAATGAGATATTTGTTTAATTATACCGTAAACAATCAAAAGATATTGTCACTTCCAGTTTCAAAATGTTCTGCGTCTCGGTACTTTAAAAACTATAAAAATATAAAATGCGTCAGGGCGAAAGAGCGACGTAATGTTTAAAAGATATAATACCGTGTAATTTTGAGAGATACGCAACTGTAATAATATTTATTGTAAATATAAATATTACGAGTTGTGTAAAATCGTCGTTATACATCATGCTGAAGTAGCACGCTTGTGGCTCCAACAAATTTCGTCGGCTTTGATCTGCAAAGTCTCGTCTCGCCGATCGCATGATCAAAGGGGCAGGTGAAGAAACGCGATACATTATTACACAATTATCGCCTCTTTGTCACGCCTTTTAATCTCGAGTTAATGATCACAGTAGCGAAATTTAATATTCTATTACGTAGACCCATATCACATCTCCCGGCGCAAATACGGACCTCGCTAAGAACTATCGCATCGCTAAGTTGATATTACACGTGCTGTAACGCTAATTTACCCACAAAAGTAACGTCGCTCTCGTAAAGAATAGAGCGTATCTCCTTCATTCGCCTGCCCTTTTGGAAGTTTAGAGTCTCGTGACAATATTCCGACGTAATCTCGCTGCACAAGCGCCCATAAACTCAAACGACACGAGAGCTCCGTGAAAGCTCCAAGTGACGTCATCGCGCGACGTCCGTGACAGCTCAAAACTCACTACGGATGCTCGTGTCGTCCTGAGCGAACGAGTTGATTAGCTACGGTATTATTTCGCAGTCTCCGTATCGCTAAACGCCGCGTCTGCCGGACGGCTGCGAGATGACTGCACGGGAGAATGGAGAAGAAATGAGGCTGAGGTAAACAGAAAGTAGCGTTTTCGATGTACCCGACGAGGCGCCAACGAGTTCTCGATATCTCGCTGTGTGGCTGGAAACCGAGGAGTTTCGTCCGTGACTGCTTCCTCTTTCTTTTTTTCCTCTGTCTCTCCGCCTCTCTCTATTTCTCTCTCTCTCTCTCTCTCTCTCTCTCTCTCTCTCTCTCTCTCTCTCTCGCGATGCGAAAAAACGCCGCCTTCGAAGCGGCGTAGTCGTTTCCGGCTATATTTTCTCCAGTTTCTCGTTGCTACCAACTTTCGTAATCGACCTCGGGGGTATCAAACGCTTACGATTCGGACGCGCATCATTACGTGTCTCTCTCTCTCTTTCTCTTTCTTCCTCGGGCCAACCTATACGCTTGGTAACGCGGAAGTGAGACGATTAATTCGATTGTTATCACTCGTTACAGAGCGCTAATGCGCGACGATGGGCGATCGACAAGAGAGATCGATAACAATCGGTAATGGCTCCGCGACGACCAGCGTCGTTCGAAGTGTTCTGTTACGTGGTATAGGGCTGTGGGAGAAATATCATACAATCGTCAGAAGCGCGGAGATCAATTGTCGAAGACATCGAGCAAAAAAAACGGGTTTCCTCGTCAAAGTAAAATCGAAAACGACGATGACAATGACGACGACGAGAATGACGATGACGACGACGACGACGACGACGACGACGACGACGACGACGACGACGACGACGACGACGACGACGACGACGACGCGACGACGACGACGACGACGGACGACCGACGACGACGACGACGACGACGACGACGACGATGACGACGACGACAACGACGACGACGACGACGACGACGACGACGACGACGACGACGACGACGACGACGACGACGACGACGACGACGACGACGACGACGACGACGACGACGACGACGACGACGACGACGACGACGACAACGACGACTACGACGACGACGACGTCAACGACGACGACGACGACGACGACGACGACGACGACGACAACGACGATAACGATGGTAACGGGGACTCCAGGGGAACTCGCTCCACAGAATATCGTTTATCATGGATCAAGAGAAAAGCGTGTCCTTTTTACTCGGGCTTCAAGCGATGCCACTGCACAATGGTCTGCCTTGGCTTTGTGATCATGTCCTGCCAATGCTTCGTTTCGCTCGCGCCACTGCCATTCTTTCCTGAAAGGAATTTACGCGTACACTGCACACCACCGTACCTGCAATTTCTTGCCGCGTCTTGTTGCTTGTGACTCGATTTGCCAGATTTTCTACTCGCTGCCGCGCGCTCAGCTGAGTGCCGAAACAAACGAGATGTTAGCTACCGCGCGCCGATTTCGAGGGAATTTCCGATCTCCCGATTGTTTTGCAATCACGGGCGGCTGAGATATCGAATATCTGTCGGTTGGGGATATGCCGGGTCAGGTAGTCGAGCTAATCCCGAACGCGTGACGATCAGCCTAACCGTAAGTATACAGGATTAATCACTCAACACGATCGAATTGATTAATTTTCTTCAGAGGAGACTGAAAGCAGTCTCGGAAACTTTCGCGAACTATGTGTCTCCGATCGAGAATATAACTCCATCAACTTCGAGAGAAATTGGGTATCGAGGCTGGAGCCTCTATGCCTTTTCGACGAAACAATAATAGTGTGAGAGAAAAGGGCAATTCCGAGATTTCGCAATGGAGGGGTACGTTTATCGTAAAGTTCTCGAAATACCTGCGAGCTGAATCCGGCCGATCAATTCGTTCCGTCCGATATTGTCAAAGTCCATCACCATCACGTCCAGGGAGCATTCTCTGATTTTCTCCCAGGGTACGTTGAAGGAGAATACCTCGTTGAATATCGGATTCAAAGTGCATTTGAAAATGGGAGTTTTGCGCTTCTCGATCCTCTTATCGCCAAACTGCAGCCACACTTTCACATACGGATCTGAAATTGCAAGTATTTCATTACGAACGATCACCAGACGAGTTTTCCATACCAGAGGATGTCGTTCGAGGATGATACAAACAAACGAAAGTAACGTGGAACACACTATTGTATATATACATACTTAAGTAGAGTGCCTCGTATTTCGGCAGGCATAATTCTTGCAACAGCTTGCAACGCGATCGAAAGGATAAATCCCTTCAGACTGATCATCGAGACTACACACCTGATTTTCCGTTGATATCCTTAGCCTTGAGATTCCTCGCCTTTAGCAGAGTCAACGTCAGTATAGAGTTGCTCGGGTGGTAGCACAGTGAGCACAGGAGTTCCCCACATTTGTCTTTAGCTGGCGGCTTCAGGGCTTTCCAAAACGACGGTTTCTCCGACAGATCAACCTGCGACAAGTCCGCGAGGTATCACCGATTGCTGCACCGTGCGTAATTGATATCCCGTCGGTACAATTAATGAATCGAATTTCGGGAGACGGAACTTTTCGCAGGAGAGAGAGAAAAAAGGGCGTACTTTCGATTCGCGTCTTCGTTAGCTAGGAAAGTTTTAATTAATTCCTATGGGCCGTCACTTTGTTGAATTAAACGGCGTAATTCGGTTAATTAAACGGGTAATTGTCGCGAGAAAGAGATAACACGCTGGAGAAATAACGTAATTAAGCTGAAACGGAGAAGCTGTCAGATAGCTACGTGCATACGTGCATGCGTGCGTGCGTGCGTGCGTGCGTGCGTGCGTGCGTGCACGAGCGTATTTGCACGCCTCACCAAAAATTAGACGGCCTCTCGGGAAACGTTCGCCGCACGTTATCGTTATTACCTCCGTCACGTTTGCCTCTTATTGAGAAATGCAGCGTACGCGATCCAATTATGTATTCCATCCGAGGCGATCATATCCAGACGAAATAGTTAATTGATTACGTATATTGCGAATTAGGAACGCGGAATATGCAGGGTAAACACGCTGTGGAATCGAGCAGTTAAACCGTACGACACGAATTATTCGTGCGCAATCCGATTTCAAGTAATTATGTCGATCTCTCTTCAGACCGAAAGGAAACGGATTATTCCGTCCGACTCGCCGTAGGCATTTGATTCGTATTATTCTAATATTCTAATATACGCTCGGTTTATACGCAAAATCGACATGATATTGATAAAGAACATTTCCGTTCCAAAGCCGCCTATAAGCAACGACAAGAAGACGCACGAGAGACGCCGGGAATGTCCGACTCGCAATGTCGGCGCGTATTACGAATTGCTCGTGGGAAATGAATTTGTACATAGCTCAGAATTATAATAACCATGTATCTCGATGTTATTATGCACGTGGATTAACTAGTCGTTCGGTAATATTGGAGAGCGGACAGCTGGCTCATTAAGCGGCCTCGTGACACGATTAACAAATTAAAACTTGCCACCGTCCTCTCGCCATTACCGTATCACCACGCGTACGTAAGAAGTGACGAAAATTCAATCGATTCTCCGAGGTAACGCGCAACGGTAAAGTCCAAGCTTTCTAAGCTTGTCCCGTTTAAACGCGCGCGAATGCACACATTCTTATCGAATAATATAATCACATTATATCGCGCGTAATTAGGATATTTTTTTCTCATTTATTTATTTACAGACTTAGTACTCTTTGATGCACGTGAAAAAAAGAGCAGAAAGATAAACTTGGAAATACACGAGAATATAATATTCATACCGAAGTACACAAACTTATACGTTACAACAATTAACTAATAGTTGATAGCTCGAATATTTTATTGCTCGGATCTTGTTAACTTTACAATATTTGTTCTACGCAAAATAATTTCCCATATTACCCTTTTGAATATTTTAAATAATATTAGTGTATCTTAATCGGACAAATTAATATGGTACTTTTTTTAAATGTATACATATATTATTATATTGGAGAGAAATTATTTCCACATGCAAGTGAACGAGGCGAGACGTTTCGACATGGAAAAGTCCTGGAATTAAGGTCATATCGATAATATCACCGATCCAACAGTGAATTATAAGCTCGCTGCAGGTATTTACGATATGAATTATGACCTGTCATTCTTTCTATTCCGAACTAAAGCGATTTTTACAACGAGCGTGACTTCCCGACGCTTCCCGACGTTCTCGCGACGCGGTGGATTGACTAATTAAACAGCTCGCCCTTCAGACCGCGATGCCACGACGGCAGTAAATAATTAGGCGACGGAGAAGCTGTGCGGAAACCTATGCGGAACAAACGTAAGGCGCGAAATGCCGAGATACACGGCACGTCAGTTTCCACTTATCCGCCCCGTGAATCCCCACCGTTATCGTGCGCCCTCGCACGAATCCCTTAATCCGCGTCTACTGCACGTAATAATTGAACCGCACAAATTACGGGCAAACACATCCCGTCAAATTACCTGGCAAAGCGGCAGAAACATTTCCCCTATGGAGTCATCCCGCGAGAATCGATCGTAGTCGAAGACATGCAGATGTAACACCCTGCTCTGCAGCTTCTGTATGGGGAAACCTGAGTGATTCATATAAACACACGTACATTTTATTAAATTATCGCACAATCCTGCGAAGGAAATTTCGTCCCGACGCACCGTCCTTTCCGAACAACGCTGTCGCCCCCCCCCCCCTCCTCCTCTCCCCACGTGTCCCACGCCATCTCGATTGATTTAATTCCTCTAATAATGGCGTATACGCGCTCGACGGATGCGAGCTTGAAGAAAGCGAAAACATTCGATCTGCTTCGGCTTAAGTGAGAGATCGAAGCGTGGCGATCTGATTACACACCGATCGGTACGATCAGTGGGAGGAAACCGGTCAAGGTCGCAACATATTTATACTTTCAAGGCAAAATGGAGGTGATTTTTTCGAAAGTGACCATTCTGAGTCAAAATGTTAAGTGCGAAGAATTTTATATTGCTATAGAGACGTTCTTAAAGCATAAGCATAAGAGCATCTGCTTTTGAAATTCGTCTGTGCGTCCGTGATGACCTTCATTTCAACGCACGAATTTTTTTTATCTTTCTTATTCGGTTATTTATTTAGTTCTTTTAGATATATTTTTGGAACTATTATGCATGATTGTAAAATTTGCCCAACAATAATAACACTTCTAACACACAGGACATAAGAAACGATAAGTGATGAGCGCTTGTCCCACATTTTTTTGCACTTTAATTAATCATTATCATCGACTCGTTGTTATTGATTATTATTATTATTATTATATCGATTGTTATTCCGAAATATCATCTGATTTGCAACAGAAAAAGTTGTTTTTCTTCAAGGGAAGCGGGATACTCGAAAGATAAATTTTCTTATTAGGTATTTAGGTATGCCTTCCGAAATTCATCAAAGTATAGAATTGAAACTTTCCTGTATTGATTGTATCTTGATGTACATTACGGTACTCTCTAAAGTATCAGTGTATACTTTACTGAAATTCTATACTTACAACTGATGGTATGCAATTATAAGTACAGCTTTACATAATCAGTAAAGTCTCACTGAAAGGATAAATTAACAACAACGGCTGTCCCAATTATCAATGCAATGTTTGCAATCGTAGACGGTGTTATCGCACGGCGCACAGAGAGAAGCCGTCAATTCCATCGCTGCAAAGCGAGACTTGCTAATTTGCATTATAGATTCCGTAATGAAATTTTGCTCCCACTGGTCAAAACCAATAAGATATATGACGGAGCGATAAGTCGGGAGGCTGTGTTCACTGAATATCAGTGAAAACTTTCGAACACACGCTGTTTATCGAAATACCTTTTTTATTCATTAAATCAGAAACACATTTACTAGTACACTTTAAGAAAGCAGGCTGAGAAATATTCCTTTTCCGCACAGCGATCGCTATCATAAGCTCGCAGAAAGGGAGAAAGTTCAGTTCCAAAGTGTGAAGGGTTGATCCATTCAAATACGAAGACTTTTATTAATTGTGTTGCCGCAAAAATTACTTTACATTTATCTCCCGTTGATCGGCTCGGAAGAACGTTTGAACATTTATATTAATTCACGTTTATATTAAACTCCCCATCAACCTTCGACATATCATCGAGTTTTACTTCAAGTCATTTTACTCTTTGAGCTTCCTTCTCTCGCGCTTGGTCTTAACTACTTGCAAAGATTTGTTTCGTGACTTTTATTCTTTCTCGGAGATCTATCTCTCAGAAAGCGAAAGCGAGAAAAATGTACTTTTTCTTTTCTCTCAAAATACAATAACCCCTTGATCAAACTAACCTTAACTCTTTGAATGGGGAATTAATTTAATTTAATTTAATTTAATAAACACTCACAACGGTGGGGTGAACGCCGGGACGAAAGATGCAAAAGAGTCGGTCGGGAACACTCACCTTCGAAGTAAAACGTCTCGTTCCATCGCGGATTCAACGTGCGCCTTTTGATTTTCGTCTCAAGCCGGTGCTTCTTGTCCGGGAGTAGCGTGACGCGTACGTACGGATCGGAGGTGCCCGACAGGTCCTTCGCCGGCAGGTCTTTACCCTGAAATAAATCGTCGTATGTCACGTGAGGAGTCGCATGGGAATTTCTTAAGCTCTCGTTATCTGTAAGTAGCGCGCGGGACGTTGTAGTTGTTCATCAGAGAGAGGGCTCTTCGCGTGTTGCCCATTGTGCGGTACATCTCGCGAGAGTGCCGTGGCCTTTCGGATACATAGATAAGACAATTCGGTGAGCGTACGACGTGCAACAGCCTCTGGCTGATGTAGCTAGCGCCTTCGTTACGTTAAACAGATTTCGAGCGTATAAGCGCGCCCTTTGTGGCCAAGAGCGCACTCGATGTCGTTAATGGAAGTTTCGTGGACGACAAACGAAATCGATAACTGCTCGTAACGGCCTTGATGGCCTCTCGTATTTGGCAAAATAAGTCTGCTCCGGAGTTCGCCACGGTCCGTAACTTTCTATAACCGCCTGACCGGTTAAAAAATTGCACAGCGTGGCCGTGAAGGCGTTTACGCTCGACGTTGGACGATCATTTTTCATTGGCCTGTCGTGCCGTTTCTGCGAACTTCATAATGTCACTTTGCCCACTTAAGTTCTTCGGGGGAAATTACTTTGTGTACATGTGTGCGCGTCGTTATTTATAAATGGAATATCGCGAGGGCTCGGCGGATGTACTTTGAAATTGCTGTGTGAGAATTCAAAAGATTTTCATCTTCTTATGGAGTAAGGAAGTAAAAGGAAATTTCCATAAATACAAATTACATAGTTGAAATGTCCTCAAGTAAAGCTCGCGGGGACATAAATTGCGCGTATAATTCCGCAAAATTTTGCGGCAAGCGCGCTTTCTGTACGCGGGCAATTTCAAACTTCAGTTATTCCCACTTCCCAATTTCAGTTATAAAAATATCGAATAGAAATGGAACAAACGCGATATCTTTCGTGATGCTCAGTTGAACGTTTCGAAACGCCAACAAATTTTCGCGCCACAAAAGACGCGCGATGGGAATTCATAAAAGCAGGAATTTTTAGGTTGAGAGCGCAGTTCCGCTCTCGTCGAGAGATACATTCCGGGCCATTTAGAATACACGCTAACTGCGGAAAACACATCCATATTTCGCGTATAAAAATTAACTGTATTTCCTGAGCAACGGTGATACGCTTTGCAGAGGTAGTTGGTGTAATGCGCGTATTATGAAATTTCACGAAAATCAACAGGATAACGAGATAGGCGGGAACATGTTGCGCTCCGCGTATTTTTACAGGGTCCGATCTATCGTACTGAAAACGCAACACAAAGCAGAAACGTAATTAATCTCTCTTTTATTTTGTGTTCCGTGATTCTTTGCCATGTAAAATTTGGACTTTATCCGCGGACGCGGATATTTCGCATGCACCTCGAGTTCACTGCGAACTAAGTAGAAAGGGAAGACTTTTTCTTTTCTCTACAAATTCTCGACTCATCGAAATTCTCCACTAAGAAATTCAACACAATGAACCGATTAAATATTCTCCTTCACTGTGAGTGAGAAATTAAATTTTTATCGGCATACTTCTCTCTTTCGAGTTGAATAACAAAATATTTTTAAATATCTTATCAATTTCTCTCTCTCTCTCTCTCTCTCTTTCTCCGATATAATTTTCCGTTCAAAATAATACTGATTTATTTTCGTTTGTTTACATATTTACGGGAAAATATCATCTCTCTTTGTAGCATAACACACAATTTCCAATCTGACGTACAGAAAAGGAAGACGAGTTAAAAAGAAAAAAACAAGTTAATAATAGGAAGTTAATAATACGAAAGAGTATGTAATATAGTATAGTAATTATATGATTGCACGTACAAGTCAAACATTTTCTTTTTTTTTTTCTATAATTACGCAAGATCATAAACATCGAGACGTCGAATAATATGACGTAATTTTAGCTGCTGCGCGTACATACAATCACGCACACGCATGCGTATTTCTATTCTGACAGTTATGTAAGTGGTGTACTTAAACGTCGCCCAACTGCTACGTGACTCTTGGCACGCGGTAATCTTCGTCGCGCAAAGAGCACAGTGAATGTTACCACCGCGTTTCACTTAACGTCGAATTAAATTGTGTGCGGCGGAATCCAACGTTCGAGAATTTATGCGTTTGTTTACAACAAAAGTCTCCGCCCGACGGAAACGGGTTTTATTTTTCTGCAGGACGGTCGCGCTATGAGAGTTCCGAGGGAGACGCCGATGTAACCGAGGAGTAATGTATGACGTCCCAGTTTTCTGCGGGGTGCAACGTGCGTCTCGTCGGCGATTTATGGCGCCTCTTATCGTTCGCGCGTCGATGAGATAAGAAATCTACTAATAGGTCCGCATAGATTCTCACCCATATCTCTCTTCTCCCCTTTTCTCTTTACTTTGTGCATAGAGAGATAAATATGACACGAGGAATATATATTTAACAACCGCGAGAAAAATAGAGAGAGAGAGAGAGAGAGAGAGAGAGAGGGGGGGAGAAAAAGTGTCGTTCAGTCGAATTTTCTGTTAAAAAGAAAACATCTAACGCTATAGATCTACAAGATATCTGTCGTTATTCGCGACACTTCGCGCTAAATGGCCCGCGGCGTAACGCCAAAGTAACGCGCGTCGGATCAGGGGAATCGTAAAAATAAATCTCATTTTCCTCCTCCGTCCACCCAACGGCGCGCAATCGTCAATTAATTAATGCGTAACCGTCGTCGGTCCCGAATCTCCTTTTTTTATTATGACAACGGCGATCCAATTTCGATTTCATTTATCATTCAATTAAGCATTGCTACACCCGCGTACACATCGGACACAATTCAAACGCAATTCGGTATCGCGTATGTGTATAATGTGTGTCCCGCGTTATTATTATGATCCCCGACCTCGTCGCACGGGAATATGCACGTCGGTATTGCGATCGATGTGCTGCATTGCCGTGCACAAATAACCGCGCGATGTCGACGTCCGCGAGTGTGTCCGACAATTGCAAGTTTCGCAAAGACCAAGTCTCTCTCTCTCCCTCTCTCTCTCTTTGTCTTCAACGGGCGCGACGCGCACTCCCGGAAATTCCCAGACTGACCTGTATGATGCGCAGAATGAGCGTGCTGTTCTGGAAGTCGTACTCGAGGCTGAAGTGGATCTGGCCGACGTTCTCGCTCGGCTCCGAATTATCGATATACATGTCGACCAGGGAGATGGACCTACTTTGTAGAAACGCTTTCTGCAACATACACACACGCGTCGGCGACGCGATCGTTACAATCGTCTCTCCTTGTTCCGGAGAGAGCGATCCATCTTCCTCTCGCTTCCCGGGACGTTACACTCCGGAAGGAAATGCGATTAGGGAGTCCGGTCTAAAAGGATCCCCTCAAAATCGCATTACAAGCGGTATCCGTTATTCGCGCGCGTTGTTACGCGAGCGCGCGTCTCAACTTCGCCTCTTAACGCCATTATTCCCGATGCTCTTCCAAATTGACGAAAAAGACGGAAAAGTGAAGTGGGACGGTAAAAAGAGGAAGCAACGCTCCGTTACATCTCCCGGAGCTCTACAATGAACAATTAACGTCGCTGATGATAACGTGATGTCGTTAATTATGACGCTTTGTCGAGAGGACTTTATACCGTCGTCCTTGGTGCTTCGCGCCGTTGCGACTGCTGTCCGATTCGAAGTTGCGACGTTAATCCTCGAAGAATTAATTCCCCGACGAAACGCCCCGCGACGACGCCGACGGTGCGAAATCCGCGATTCACGTCGCGATTTCCTCGTGATTCTCCCGCTCGACCGGGCCGCGTTAATAAATCCGCACGAGGGCTCGTCGAGAGAGACTTACCGAGGGATGTTCACCTTTGACGTTCTGCAATTGTTTATTTTGCGGTCCGGCGGTGGGCGTACGGGGCTCCGCGCTTCCGGCATTGCTGGCACCGCCACCCGGGGCCGCGGTCGCACCTGCTCCGCCGCTCGCAGGACCGCCGCTGCTACTTGCCGGGGACTTGCTGGCCGGACTGCCGGTCGTCCTGAAAAATAGATGTAGAATTCGTCGCGTTACGTCCCTTCCGCTTTTCACGCCCCCGCCCGCCCTCCGTCCTCCTCCCTGATGAAAGCTCGCTTGTCCGTCTTTGTTACCCTTTGTCCTCTTCCTCGTGTCGAGGAAGGCAACGCTACGCGTGCTGTAACGGCGCTTAAGACGCTAATGGGGGGGGGGGGGGAATGCTAAGGTACAGTGCGTGCTCAACTAAGTTTCCTCATTCTATTACCATTTCAACTCTAATGATCACCGTCGTAAACGAGGCTCGTAGCCCCAAGTAAGCAGTCCTTGGCGTACGATTTTTCTCTACGTCGGAAGGGCCAAGCTTTCTCGACGGTAATTTTGCTTCATGATGTCTGTTGTCAAGTTTCCCCGTCGAAGAGAAACGATCGTAACGCCGGTGAGAAGCTCAGTCTACTCTGTTCCCTTGTCTCTTCCGGCGCTGCCGAGATTCAGCGTTTCGCCTGATCACGGCGGAGCGCGATTCGCGTTGGCCGATTGAGAGACTCGCCGGAGCCGCCAACTCGTCCCCGCGCATTTATGCACCGGCTTATCAACGACGGCGACGTGCTGATTCCGGCGTGATACACTTCTGTAACGCGTGTTAGAGACACTAGCAGCCGCGAGAGATCCAGGTAAATCTTATCGCGCGATTTATCGTGTCGCATCACGCCACGTGCTGCGCCCGCTAATCGAGACAATGTTCAGCCGGGCACGCAAACCGATACGCCTCTGTCGCGTCAACGGCTTATTAATAGTTGCTGTTTATCAGCGACGGAGACGCGCGACTGTCGCGACTGTGCGGAGCGTGCATAATTGCACAGAAACGGCTGGCAGCCACGGCCACGACGCGACGGCGAGAGAAAAACAAACGCATGTATGTACGTACGTGTAATTACGTACGTACGCGCGCGACTCAAAGCGAAATCGATACGGAGCATGCGAGCTGAGGGAAGATGCGTTTGGTACTTGCGACTTGCGTTAAACTGAACACTCTCAGCCCTGCGAATGCGACCTGTTCGATCGACGGTTTAACGCGACGCGACGCGGCGCGACGCATTTACTGACCGCGTTATTTTGTGTCTGCATGTCTGAATGTTTCTGCCAGTCACACGTTTTTGTAGTTTGTTCGCCGGCGAACTGCGACTTGCGGACATGTGTATCTGCGTAATCAGTGGCTTCACTTCGTTGCCGGCAGAAGTGACGCGCGAAATCTCATGGTACTCGGTGTTGTATACGTCCGCGAAAATCTCCAGGAGAATTCCACACGCTCGAGACTCGCATCCATATCTCGCGGAGACACCGCAGGCGAACATGCGGGCGACCTCGTAGACGAATAATTCGCGCGCGAAGGTGAGCCAAAGTTCGCCCAACTGTTTCTCACGTTTTTTTCCGACGGAGATAGAAGCGTAATAATCGGTCATGGCAGGAGTCGAAATGACAATATGAGTTGAGACTCTCGACGTCAGGGGCTTCAACGGAGGATTCAAGAGGAACATAATTATCTTCATTTTATTTTTACCTGTATTAGATAAGAGTATAATAAAGAGCCAAAATATTTACGTCATGACTTGTCACATTAATTCCTATCGTATCCGATTTTATCACGCAAATCCGTAAACAGTAGTTTGCAACTGTGACCATTTATTCCCGCTCCTTTTTCATAAAAAACCAAGTGTAAAAACCGTTTTGCAGAGGAGTAAGTTAAAAATACAAGTGTCGAAACACGTACCTAACATTAGACATTTTTATCGTTCTAATCTTTAAATTCAAGTATCTAAGCTTCCAACAAAAAATGTAAATGCATGTATTAAATATATGTGTGTATATATATACATGTGTATATTCTGTTAAAAGTTTAAATATTCATATTTAACGACCAAGATGATAAAAATATCCAGAGTCAGTTACGGGTCTCAGTGTATTACAACAATCACTTTATACACGAATTCATTCACGACCGATTGAAAGAGGACATCACGCCGGGCGTACGGCCGAATCGCGATCTCACTTTTATTTATTTACCCAAACGATCCGCTATTCATCGCTCATAAATAAGACTAGGAGTGAACCCGCGCATATGCGGAGATCTTCGCCACTTTCGAAGAGAAAAGTACGAGAGCCACAGGATACGCGCGCCCAGCGACCTGCATAAATTTAGACGACCGTCTCTCGTCACGTAGCGTACAAAAACGATTCATTATGAAGACGCCGCTTTGCGAAGGACGGATACGTTGGTTTCGCATTTGCTTGAGCTTGAACGTCGTTGCCCGTAAACGTAAACGGCACACTTTACACGACGACTCGTCGGTGACGGCGTACCGACTTGCGCATTTGAACGAGCAACAGAAACCCGCCGAGATATCGACAAACAGAATGCGCGACGATTCAACTGCTCCGTACTGCGCGTTGTTAATGTTAATCAACTGCTACGACGATTAGTGCACCTGCGTGTACACACGCAGTACACGAAGTACACTTCCAATGTATAGCATTGTTTCTAGTGAACGACACGTGTATTTTCGCGACAAGCAATTTTCTCTGAAAAATCGCACGGAACAGTCGGACCCAACCTTTTTTTCTATTTCTCTCTTCTTCTTTTTTTCTTGTTTCCTTTATTAGCAAACACTATGTGTGAATTACGTGTTTACGTGGCTGCGTTTACATCAACACCGCGGAAACAATTCCGTGGAAACAATTCCGACCGACATATTCGCGGTATCGTGCGACCTACGGTGAGCGATAGATTAATTCCGTAATTAAATTTCGCAGATATCATTCTCGATTTTACAGAAAAGATATCAAAGAATCCGCGAGCAGCCGCCGTAGGATCAGCCGCAGCGAACAATGATTTTCCGCCGGCGGTTTCATCGAAGGAAAATAGAAAATAGTCGCTTCTGTAGATCGCCGCAGAATCCGTCGTTTGGATGTAATGAGACGAAATCTGAACACATAAGCAGGAATGGAAGAGGATGAGTATTGCGAGGAGGAACAACGAGACTTGTCGCTTTTCATTTCTTCGGCTTCATCTCCGCGGTACCGCCGAATTAATCAAGTGCTCATCGACGACTATTCGACGCGCCGTGCGAATATTCACCGGCGATATTCGTTCCGCGAATGCATCTCGCACCAAGTAGTATCGCGTTAATAACATCGTTCGCTTAATGATGCCTCCGGGCGGAAAGTGACGTCCACGAGACTCGCGTCGATAAATAAGGCTCATGGCCTACGCAGAAGAAACGTAGGCAGCAAGACGCGAACAGGAAGAGGAGTAGTCAATCATCAACAGTGGCTGGTCGAGTCACTCGCAGCTGAAGTATCACGCCGCACAATGGTCCAAACGCACAATTTTCTGTTGAAAATATGCTAAATAGGCAAATAGTGCAAAATAGGTCGTATTTCTTAACTGATTTGCATAATTCTTTGACAGAAATACTCAGAAATAAATTCTAAAGAGAACTGTGAGAACCGATTTTTTAATTTCTTTGTTTATGCAAAAATATTTAAATAAATAAAGTGATAAATTAGCATTTTTCCACAAAATTATTTTTTATCTGGCTACAAACCAGATTTTGTGTTTTGTATTTGGTTTGTATTTATGTGTGTGTGTATGTGTGTGTGTGTGTATGTGTATGTAACGGAGATCAGGACTCTGGGGTTCGTCATTTCCCCAGTATTTTTTGACTCCAAACCCTCTCCGTTACACTTGTGTGTGTGCGTGTGTGTTTTATAAATAATTTTATAACTCATTTCCACGGAAAGAAATGTTTCTTTAAATATTTCTATCTTATGTATTCAACAATATCAAATAAAAACTGACTGATACAAGTCAGCTTTCATTTTATATTGTTGAATACATAAGATAGAAATATTTAAAAAAATATATTTCTTTTCGTGGAAATGAGTCATAAAATTATCTATAAAATACGCACACACACACACACACACAAGTGTAACGGAGAGGGTTGGAGTCAAAAAAATACTAGGGAAGTGACGAACCTCAGAGTCCTGATCTCCGTTACACACACACACACACACACACATACATATCCACACATATCATATAAAAACACACACATATAAATACAAACCAAATACAAAACACAAAATCTAGTTTGTAGCCAAATAAAAAATAATTTAGTGGAAAAATGCTAATTTATCACTTTATTTGTTTAAATATTTTTGCATAAATAAAAAAATTCAAAAATCGGTTCTCACAGTTCTCTTTAGAATTTATTTCTGAGTATTTCTGTCAAAGAATTACGCAAATCGGTTAAGAAATACGACCTATTTTGCACTATTTGCCTATTTAGCCTATTTTCAACAGAAAATTGTGCGTTTGTGCGCCGTGTCTCGTTAAACGCAGCGCGACCGACGCGCCAATTTCACACGCGCCGCTGTTGTTGCGCCCGCGAACGGCGGTCGCACAGTGTCGCGCGTGTAAGCGCGTCTGCTTCAGAAAGATTTAAGGATACGGATGGACACGAATCGTAAGCCGGGATCGATCACGGAAATGGATGTGTCGCCCGCGCGGCACCGTTTCCAGACGCGAAGGATGCTTCCGAGGAGGATACGCGCAGCGCGTCCGACGCGAATTCAACGGGGGGCGGACGTCGACATCGACCGGAGACTCTCCCATTGTGCTTAGCCGCCGAGCGGCCGCGAAACCACGCTCAACTCGCGAAACTAACGAGGAAGCTTTGCGAGTCTGCGACGAACTTAACGTCGACAGAAGTTTCATCGGCGCGCGGCGGGCCGTACTCGCGTATTTATCAGCGCGCGCGTCGCGTGCAAATCGCATAACGCTGCGCTTGCAAGCTGCACCGCAAGCTCGCTCGGATATAAGCGCGAACAATGTCGTGGGAAATATCGTGTAAAACCGTTCGGGAAATCGTTTCAACGGTAATCAAATTCTCGGTAGGAGAATCTCGAATCCCGCGGGATTTAGCTCTCTCGGCGCGAGGTCCGTTTCTTCCCACCGAGAGAGAGAGAGAGAGAGAGAGAGAGAGAGAGAGAGAGAGAGGAGAGAGAGAAAGGAAAGCTTCTTTCGTATTGTGGAATACTAGTTAAAACACATGCAAATAGTCGGGTTCTCCGAGCGAAATACTTTACAGATTGATCTCGCTTTCCTCTTTCATTTTTTCGCTTCCATTTTTCTTTCTCCTTTTTGCTTTTCGTTTCGTTACGAAATACGAATGTGCGATGTATACGTGTGGGAATATCGACGAGCCAAAACTATCGCAGAATGGCGCAAAAGCACTCGGGTAGAATCGTTAGCAACGCGCGCTTCTGTAAAAGCCGTTTCGGATATCGCGTGATAAACGGAACGCGTCTCTGCTAATGTATTTACGTTACAACAACAGAGGGTATGGCGCGAGAATTGAAGAATAAGGCAGAACCGGCGCACCGAACTCTGAAGTCTGAATAATCTAGCAGCAGAAAGCATTACCCACTACTCTCGTAGAACCTCGTGAAAGATACTCGACAATACGCAACAGTGCAGGACAGGCACAGACGACAGTTGGAGAAAGATATAGAATTCGTTGCGAACGAACGTGAACTACAGAGACAACAGAGAAAGAGAAGTAGAGAAAGAGAGAAAGGGAGAGAGACAGAGAGAGATAGATAGAAGGAGAGCGTTGTTTAATCACCAATGCTCGGGCAAGGCCAGAAAACTGATAGATAAATTTTGACGAGGTAGAATTACTTACGGGCAGTCAAGGTAGCGCCGATCGGTGGACAGTGAACAGTATCCGTTAGGAAGAGAAATTGGAAGAGAAGATAGGAAGAGAAGTTAAATGAAGCAGCATATAGAACAATGGATCTCTTTCATTAAAAAAGTGTCGCCTTAATTCGCATCGGTCATTCATACTTACTCTAATTGCGCTCTGTGGTTCCGATAGTTACGGTGAAACGGGGCATGAAACAGAAAAAAAGATCAGTAATTAATTAATTAGATGTAGCCTACACGCGTACGCACGCGCAAAGAAGGAACACACAGGTTGCGCACCGCGCAACGACGGTACACGACACGGGCTTTCGTCACAGCGGAGACAACGATTATGTAACAACTCACCTCCGTGTCGAGGATTCAACACGACACACAGCACTGCAACCTTATTTATCGCAAAGAACGTCATTTGCAGTCGCAACAATTAGGAGTGAAGAGAGTCACAAAGAGGGAGAGAAAGTATGCGTGCATCGACACATAAACCGGAAGGATTAAGAGAGTAGATATGCGCGCTCGAGGGTGCGTCGTGAAAAATTGACACAGCTTGCAGATTAATTACAGAAAAAGAGGAAGAGAGAGAGAGAGAGAGAGAGAAAGCGAGAGAGACAGATAATACGACGGTAAGAAGGACTGCCAAGAGAACATAATGGAGCGACCGCTGCGGTCGTTACGTAGTATAGTATATGTTACTGTTAACGAAGTGATAACATCTTCCATTACTTGCTAAGCCAAACGAGACAAAGTTTAAATACTCGGGGCGCGCGCCGCGTTAATTGCCGGGTCGGTCGTTAAGGCGGAAATTTAATTAATAAGATGAAAAATTCGCGATAATCCCACCAACGGCGATACGTCCGCGCCGTTTGTTCCCCCCGACCTTTGTTTCTCATTCTCATAATTACGAGATGTAAAACTTCCTCTCTCGTCCCGACGAGAGCGAGCAGCGCCTGGTCGTCGGATCGGCAGTCTGTACATAATAACGTTGGGTCATCGATAGTAATCACTAGCGAGGCATGTCAACACCTATTTTCAACAATAACAAACAGCCTCTGCAGCCGAGGGGCGCAAGTTCTGCGTTCCAACTTCTGCCATCGGTGTACATGTAACAGTTCGTGCACGGAAAAAGCGCGCACACGAGTCAACAGAGGATCACTCGACCTGTCACCACGAAGACTTCGATTCGTGTAGCTCGTTTCTTCTTTGTAACTCGAGCAAAAGTATCTCGTTGAATCCTTCAGCGGTTTATCTCACACCAGCCGAGTTACGTGTCGCGTAGTTTGTGCGCGCTATTGCATAATACGAGACGTAAGGATAACGATAATTGTACTAGAAGCATCGAGCAAATGGGTACTACAAATGGATACTGAAAGCAACCAAGAAAGAGAGAAAGAGTAAGAGAAAGAGGCAGAGAGAGAGAGAGAGAGAGAGAGAGACAGTTATATTCTTGATCGTAGTCGCCAAATCATGCATACTAAACATCGTTGTTTCTTCGTGTGCGCTTCCCACAGACGTCAATTACGCAGGGCCGATAACACACACACACACACACACACTCGTTTCTTATCTTAGAAGCTGTACACGGCTCCTTCACGGCCGCAACCGCGGAATGCCCTATCGATATTCAATAGCCACATTTGACTTCGCATTATTGCGGAATTACGCCGCTCCGTGTACCCGCGCGAGGAATCTGTTAACTTCACAACGAAAATAGATACATCTGCCGATAACAGCGGGCAACGCTGCAGCGGCGGATACAATATGCGATCTCACGGACGATACCGTGAAAGTTTTGATATTAAATCAGCCGCAACGAATGTTCCGCTTCGTTCACATAACAGAACCAGCTACCATACTAAACATATAACACACAGGCTGCACGCACGCACGCACGCACGCGAGGAAATCGATACTACGCTTCGTATGAATATATGTATGTAGAAATCCGCTCTTGCTTTGCCTCCTCTTTTCTCTTATTTATTTCCGCTCATATATTTGCCCTTTTTCTTTCCTTTCTCGGTTGACATCCTCCCTCCGTCCCGCCCTCGCTCTCTTGAATTATTATATTATACGTAGCTGTACTTGCGTCAATATTGACGGCGCGATTTGATATCTTCGATTTGCAAAGCTCCATGCGACGCCGCGAGAGTCGTAGCGCTCGCAAGGTAAACTCATCTCGCATCGGATATTTTGCGAATTAAATCGTAACCTAAATTTGCACTCGCTTAAATCACGATATATATATATATATATATGTATATGTATATATGCACGTAGCGTTTGATATGAATTTATTCCCCGGACGGCGACGTAAATGGATACACGCTTGTTACCGACCACGGTATATTTTTAACTTCGTTAATTAAGTGAAAATCTCCCGGTCACACGTTTTAACGAAATGCAAACTTTCCATTCTCCCATTCCCCGTGGAATTCTCTCTCTCTCTCTCTCTCTCTCTCTCTCTCGCTCTCTCTCTCTCTCTCTCTCTCTGTCGAGCGGATGATCATTGAATATAAAGATTACGGGTTAACATTTCACCGCTGCGCCGAGGAGTATTGTATTATTAATTAGAAACACTTGAGTGTGTCATCAATTAATCTGCTCTCGGGCCGCGATTTGTCTGGTGTAGAACTCCGCTACTGCTTGCCGCGTCACCTGTTCGTTATTCGCAAACGTATGCCGACGACAATGCGTGATTAATTTAACGGCGTTATTACTCGCGTATGCGCGTGTGCACACAATCTGTTATCGAATCGTGAACGTACCGTCAACGTTACCTCAGCATTACATTTCAGTTACGCATTAGCGCAACGCCATTACGGAATCGCGGTATGCTCAAAAACCGATCTCAAATTTCCATCGACTTGCAATATCGAAGAATCGCGAAATGTAAAAGCGCCGATAAATTTCGCGCCGATGACCTCAACCGATATCCAACAAATGAGCAACAATTGATTCGCATACAAATTAGACTAGGAATAAATACGCGCCCTCGAGCGCAGAGAGTGTGAGAAAACCTTTACAACCACAAATCATGATTTACATTTTTCAACGAGAAAAACAAATTTCACGTTCGAATTCACAAATTCGAAATTACGAGTGATCCCGAAGAAAACATCACTCCAATTGCACTTTCGATTATTCGATTATAATTTTCGCGCTTTTGCGAACAAATTAAATAAAATCCGTTTCTCGGGAAGAATCGACGAATTCCCCGCGGGTACTAAGAGCGCCGTCGAAAGCGACGAAGATACGCGCACGTGCGGCAGATAGGCTCTCGGAGAAATGTCCTATTTTGCATATTTAAAAATCACAACGGCAGCTGTGCGCTGCCAAAGCACGCTCGTCCAGCGCTTTCGCAGGATACATTCGGCAAGATGTGCATCGCTGTTATACCCGGCGCGTGCATCGTTTAAATAAATAAGTCAGACATAACAGCAGCTGGAACTTGGAGCGAATTCGCCAATTTTCTCATTCCCTCTGTCTTATATTAGGACGAGAGCAGTAGGAGGAGGGACGCGAGAGCGCGGTGAAGGAGCAGATATTGCCGTTGTCGTCGCGAACCACCGAGAACAGCCACCGAGGATGTTGGCGAATGGGAACGACAGCGACGATGCCGCTCGCCATTTCGCGATGGCTCCGCTCGCGAATGGACGACTCGTCGAACGCGCACGACTTGTCAGATAATTTCCAATCGAGAACAGCCAACATACGGGATGGTCCCCGAGTTTCGAAAGTATTCCCTCTTGCGGTCGGCGGGAGACGTCCTTGAGGAGCATCGACGCGGAGAACGTCCTCGCGCTGATACACTGCACCGCCGTGGTCCCTTAACCCTTGCCGCTGCATTTTCCGTTTATAAAAGCGCAGCTCTAAAAATGTCACGTTGACGTGGGAAACGCTGAAAGACGCTGAAAAGGCTTTTAAGGCGCAGCTTTTCTCTGCGCGCCGCTATTTCGCCGTGCACGCGTATATATACAAGTCCCTGCGAGACAAGGTCATCGTATTATGAAAAACAAACTACCGGCCGGCCGGCAGGCCGGCCGTCCGTCGTGCGTTAGCGTTTATCGCGTTTATTGAAGACGACGATTCTCCTCGCTGCGCTTCGAAGTGGCGAATAATCCGTCGCGCGGTGCCGTCTAGAGTATCGCTCTTTAATTCGCTTTCCATACCTACACGAGAACGGCTCCTGTCATCGGGACCGAGTCGAGACACCGGAGCGAAATTGGTTCGTAATTCGCAACTATAGCCTCTTCTGTCATCCCGCAGTCAATCACCCGCGTAAATATGCGCTGCGCGCGTGCGCACGCTGCTCGTATCCTCTCTATCTAAATATTGGGATTCGTGCGAACGCTCGAGCAGAATCTTACCTGGTGGTGTAGTATTCGAAGAAGGCAACGAGTATCTCCAGAGATCTTGACACCGCGGCCCACATAGTTTCCTCGTTCCGGGCGAGTTTCGATTCGGCTAATCTAATTACGCTCGAGAAGTCGCTAGAGAAGCCTCGGTCGAAGTTCCGGCCCGCGAGTCTGACGAGACGAATTTAACACATATTTGCTGCGATCCTCGCATCTCCCTCGACGTTGATTTTCATTATCGACACAACTGCACAGCACGCGCGTGAACTCGCGCGAGACAACGCGATCCGGTCGCGGTTGCGATCGGCCGATGAGCGCGGATGACTGCAGCCGCGGGTTTTACGGCGGAGGAGCGAATCTCGCGCGATTCGCGATTCGCTCACTCGGTCGCTCCGACGGCGCGCCGACAGTTAGACACACTTGAACCCGACAAATTGCACGTCAAACGCACCAACGCGAGATTTACATTTCATTAAATTCGCGGAGCGCATATTTGATCCGTGTAATCCGTCTAGAGGAAGATTTCTCATCGAGTCTTCCGATATCAGGGCTCTTGAGTCGCGAGCGAGCGACTGAGTAAGATCCTTAATAACTTTGCTCGCTTCACAGGCGGGCCAGGTGTATATGTGGCGAGGATAAAGTCATTTTCTCAACTTGATCTTCCGCCGATGAGATTTTAACTTGATATCTAATTACACGTGTAAAGACATGTGTGTACGTGCTTTTAAATAACGCAATAACGTCGTAGAAGGTAACCACCGCCGATGTCTCTCCTCAACGTCGGAAAGACGTCGGCGCGAATTCGTCG